ATGTAGACGGATCCTTTCAAATAGCAACCCCAGCTTTAAGCATTCAGGACTGCAGGAAATCAATGCATTAGATAATTTACCATGTCTCTAACACCACTGTTCTCTCTGATGTCTTTAAGTTGTGAGCAGGAAACCATTTTACATGTGTAACCAGCCGTGAAGGTTAGCCCAGGGAGTGCAGGTTACTGCTGTGATCAATAAACTTCACCTAAGATACCATGACATGTGCTTTGACTAATTTTTTTTAACTGTATGGTAATTAGGCACATGTGGTAAGCGGTTGACTCAAGTAACTGTCCTGATTGTTTTCTTACAAACCATGGTAACCTGAGGACAGTCTGGGAGCCACAGAGATGGTTCAGAGGGTGAAGGGGCTTGTCTCCGAGCCTGACAGTCTGAAGTCCTGGAAAATACATGGTGGCAGGAGAGAAATGACTTCCTCAAGTTGTCCTTTGACTTCCACATGAAAACTCTGAGACACACAAACACACACTAAATGACAGATTAGGGGCTAGAGAGATGATCAGCTGCTAAAGTCTAAGCTCACAATAGAAAAGATATGGGGCCAGGGTCATAGGAAGAGATACGTCTATTCTGGCATTCAAAAGGACACCTTACTAATATCCCGGGCTGTGAAGATTCAGCCCTACATATGGCTTGAGTAGAGAGACTGCCTTGGTGATGCAGCCATTCTATCTAGAACTGGGGTTAAATGATCCAATTCTTTCTGCTGGGTGTAGAGTCTCTGGCCTAGCAGCAAAGGTAACACTTAAGAACTTGCTGGAAATGTAGTCTTGTAACCTCTCACTTCTAAACCTGTCACCACCAGAACACACTGCAGGATCCTTGACAGTTTCTATGACTATTCTGATTTGAGAGACACTGACCCACTTGGCTTGCTCTCTTCTCCTGGCCTTGAGTGAGCAGCTCTCAGAGTGGTCCAGAAAATCTTGAGAACTTGCTAGAAATGCAAATTCTAAGGCCTCAACCTGATCTTTCTGAATGTGGAACTGAGGGCAAACCTCCTCACTGTGTAGGCTAAGAGGCTCCTTTGGTCAACGCAATGCCGTTAAGTTGGTCCTTATCTAGGTCAACATCCTCCATGATTTCAAACACATTCAAATCACCTTGGATTTTTAAACCTAATTGGGCTATAATCTAGAACAACCAAGCCTCTCTCCTTAAGGGAGGGCCACAGCGCTGAGTAAACTTTAAAACTCCCAACCGAGTGTCAATGTTCAGCCAAATTTGAAAGCAGATGTTGGAACTTTAGTGAGAATTGGTGGAAACAGAGGTCCAGAACCTCCCTTATTTCAGTAATTGTGGGCTCCAGGAAACAGGGACCTATGTTTTAGAACCACTCTTGGTTCCATTCAACATGTGATCCAAAGTCCAGCAAGATTAGCCTCCTACTTCCCAGTCTTGCAGATCCACTTGGAAACTGATTCGAGTTTGTAGATGAAGCACAGACAAAAGCTCTGTGGTGACTATGATGCACACTGAAGACTAAGACCCCCTGGTCTAAACTGCCTCCTCTAGTTCATTTTGTGTGTGTGTGTGTTGGGGTGGGGTGGGGTGGGGTGGCAGGAGAGTAAGAGGAACGAGTTACCTGGCTAGACATATTGGTTCATGTCTGCAATGCCAACACTGGGGAGGTTAAGGCAAGACTATCATGGGTTTGAGATGACCCTGTGTTTTGGACACACACACACACACACACACACACACACACACACACACACTGACACAACCAAAGCAGTGGCCACTAAAATGTAGACTTTCCATTCTTTTACTCTTACTCCTCTGGCTCATGTGGTTGTTTGGTGTCTCTGATTTTAACCAGTTTCACCCATTAAGAGTGGACAGCAGTGATTGATGGGAAGAGAGGAGAGGAGTTTGGGTTTTTTAATGGATATTAAAGGCAATAATACATCATACTTTTCCAGTAGCCCTAAATAGAACCTTTAGTCCTTTTTTCATGTCCCCAAAGCCATACTCAGTATGGACCCAAATTCCATTATTTAACTAATTTAATCAATATCTATTGGTACTTAATATTGGACATCCCATGGATTCAATACAGCGTCAGAGATGCTATTGAGTACATAAGTATTCAACCAGGATGTCATGATAAGCACTATTAGGGAACTATATGGTATACTAGAAGGGGTTATGCTAGGCCTGTGTTACTTTTGAGTGACATAAAACTTGGGACCTGAAGTGTGGGGCTAATCAGGGGAAGCCATGTTGGAGATTGGTGTACAACTTTTGAGGCAGGAGAGGACTTAGTGAGTTCAAGTTCCTCGGGGTATGGAAGCAGAGGGAATGGAGTTAGAGAAGGCAGAGACTGGGTCATGCAGGAATTTGGCAAGGAGAGGGTGTTTTGTTCTGAGCAAAGACAAAACTACACAAACGGCCAAACACAGTTATATCCATGTAGTGGAGAGATGCCTGGCCTCATCTGTGATGTCAGAGGTTCCTTGGGTCTGATACTGAGGCCATGGTTTGCAATTTTCTGTGTGGTCTACTAACCTCTCTGAGTTGCAGTCTCCTAGTCTCTAAAATGGGAACAATGATAGAGTTGCAATAAGAAAGTTGTCAAGTAAGTGTCTGTGGTGGGTAGAATACGGCTCTCCTCCCAAATATCTACAACCAAGCCTCCAGTATGAGAAAATATCATACTACTTGCAAGGAGGCAAGGAAAGGCCTAAGAGCATCACAAGAATCCTTTTGACATTGAAGAGGGAGCTGCCAGAGTCAGTGCTGGAGTGATTCAATTGGAGATTGTATTATTTTCTCTCCCATTGAGTTTCTTTTTTATTGTATTAATTTCTTTTTGTTGCTGTGGTAACTCTGACAAAGGCAAATAAAGGAGGGGGGAAGTTTGTTCTAGTTCAGGGTTCTGGGATACAATGCATCATGGGAAGGTTAAGGTGACAGAAGCTCGAGGCTGCTGGCCATGCATTCCCAGCCACAATGGACAGTGTGATGAATGCACACATTCTGACCACTGTGATTTCCCTGCCATGCTGGACGGTAACATGGAACTGTGAAACAAATCAACTTCTTCTCCCTTAATGTCACAGCATTTGTATCACAACAAACAGGAAATGCCATCCATGTAGAAATTGGTACTGAGAGGTGAGATGGAGCTGTTGCTGAGATAAACCTGACTCTAGGGTTGGTTCTACGGCCTTTGGAAATACTTTGTGGCTGGAATGTGAAAGAGTTTGGTATTTTGGGTTAGGACAACCCTTGAAAGCTGGAATTAGATCAGAACAGGCCACTCCTGTGACACCTTGGAAGATGGGGATGCTAAGAGAAACAGTTTTTAAGTTTCCAGATGTGAATAAATACTCTATCAGGAATTGTGGTGGGGCCATTCAGGTGCTATGTTGGCCAAGAATATGATGGTCATCTGAACATGTCCTTCAAACCAGAGTGGCACTGGATTGAGAGGTAATGGACTAATTTGTTTGTCAGAGAAGAAGCTCAAGGCAGGAGAACATTCAGGAGGGTGCGGAGAAAGCAGTGGTGATTACTAAAGAGATCAGCACCACCGAGGTCAAGCCTCCTGCACCAGGACAACAGGGAAGGTGTCCGGAGGGAAAAACAACACACCCCAGAGGTTCCATCTTGTGAAGATCCAAGTTCATTTAAAAGGAGAAAGTCTGAATGGATTCCCTGCTCCTGAAAAGGAAGTGACTGGGAGAGTGGTCCCAAGGGGACAAGGGACACCTTGAGCTGGAGGAAGAACTTAGAATCAATGTCCATTCAATGTCCTCTTTATTTTGAAGGCATGGGCAGTGCAACATTGAGAGATTTGTGGACAGCAGCTGAGACCAGGTGATGTGTGTCAATGTGAGCGTGCCTACAGAGTGGCCCTAAGAAGCTACTATGTAAAGTTAAGATGAAGCCTCTGTTGCAGTGGAGACCCTAGAGTTTTGGAGATACCAGGACTGTAGGATAGTGCCAAAGAGTTGTAATGTGGACTGGTGCTGTCACAGAAGACAGCCTCTGTGAGCTGAAGGGATAGGGCTATGCAAGACCTTTGGAAACTAGTTGATTTCATTATAAGCCCCAGATCCAACATTTGGTGTTTTCCCTTCTGGATTTTGGTTTTGTTTTGGTGTGATTATTTCATCCCAAGTCTTCCATTTTGGAAAAAGATTGTTAACTCTGACCCATTATATTCTGGAAGTACATAACAGTTTAGAGATTTAGGACTTCTAAAGTGTTGCAATTGTTAAAGACTATGAGGACTTTAAAAACTGGGTTGTATTTTCGTTTTGAGACAAGTATGAATCATTTGAGACAAAGGGTGAAAGATTGTGGCTTAGAGGTGAAGTTTTGGGCATTAAGTTGACAAGGGATGGAGTTGTGATAGCATTAGCAATCAGAATGACACAGCCTAGAATCACCTGAGGAATTGTCTTAAGTTAGGATTTGAAAAGACCTCCTCACTGTGAGTGGGACCTGTAGCAGGCTTTTTTTTTTTTTTTTTTTTTTTTTTTTTTTTTTTTTTTTTTTAGGCCACCAACCAGCTCCCAAATCATGATGTGGAGACTTCTTATGAGTTATGAATGCTTGGCCTCATCTTAGCTCTTATTTCTTGCTAGCTCTTATAATTTAAATTATCCTGTTTCTCTTAATCTAAGTTTTGCCTCAGGGCTTTTAAAGTCTTCCTTCCTTCCTTCCTTCCTTCCTTCCTTCCTTCCTTCCTTCCTTCCTTCCTGTCTGTCTGTCTGTCTGTCTTACTCTCCTGTCATCTCCATGACTGACTAGTGGCTACCTGGCTTCTGGCCCAGGTATGTCTCTTATTTCCTCCCTCATTTTCTTGATTCCTTCTTCTCTCTTGAGCCTAGATTTCTCCCCCTACTTATTCCCTCTGCCCACCAGCCCCACCTATCCTTCTCTTGCCTAGCTATTGGCCATTCAGCTTTTTTTATTAGATCAATCACGTGCCTTAGGCAGGTAAGGTAAAACAAATACAACACATCTTTACATAACTAAACAAATGCAGCACAAACAAATGTAACGCATCTTTACACCGTTGAACAAATGTAACACACCTATACACAAAAGTCATTTCCCAAGCATAAACAAATGTCACATGTCTTTACATAGTTAAACTGATATTCCACAACAGGGACCCTTCTCTGGACTAGGGAATACTGTCGCAGTACAGAGATAGCTAGCTGAGCACCAGCATAGGAGCACTCATTGCCCTCCTCTGTGACCAGTTGCTCCAAGCTCCTGCTACTGTGTCTTTCCCGCAATGATGGGATGTGACCTGGAATTGTGAGCTAAATAAGCCCTTCCTTCTTTAAGCTCCTTTTATCAGAATATTTTATTGCAGGATCAGGAAAAGAAACCAAGACAGTGACTCCACCTGCAACTGCTGGCTTTGCAGATAGAAGGGGCCACAGACAAGGAATGCAGGCAGCCTGTGGCAATTGGAAAAGGGAGGTACTTGATTCTTACGTGTAGTCTCGGAAAGTGCATAGCCTTACTAACACCTTGATGCTAGGCCAACAAGATCTGTATCCTAGGACTGTAAGATAATAAAAAAAAATGTGTTTAAAGCCATTAATTTTAGATAACAAGTTTTAATCAACCGCTTAATGAATGTATTTTGTACATGTGTTATACAGATTACATGTATGTCTAGTGTCTATAGGACATAGAGGGCCAGGTTATAGATGAACTCTGCCAAATTGTGTAAGTTGGTGATTTCAGCTAAGGTGACAGTTATGGGAGCAGAAGGAATGGACCCGGCAACAGAACTCCCACTCTTTTGATGTCTGGGTCTTGAACACGCAAAGTCCTTAGGTTTCAGTGAATTTTTCTGGAGCTTTGGCCATATGTAGCTTTGCTGAAGATAAAAGCAGTCCTAAGGGAACATTTGGGCAATATCTCAGGGCAGCCAGCTTGAGCAATTTCAAAACCACTCCCCTGAAGATGGGGCAGTGAATGCGATTACCCACTGTGTTACAATGAAGCAGAATCCCATCCCCATTCAGGCAAGAGTCCCAGGGGTCTGTCTCTGGGGCAGGAGTTAAGTACTCACTCTGCTCACAAAGTTGCTTCATAAGTCTTTGGCTTTAACATGACAGTGACCATCTGTCCTACCCAACCCTCGAGGGGAACATTAAAAGAAGCAGCACATGGACATTCAGGCTATTAGAAGCAGGGTGCCAAAGACTAAATGGAAAGACTTTTCCTGGGTTATCCTCACTGCACCCAGGGGTGGAACTGAGGACAGAATGCCAAATGGGCTCAGAGGCTACTAGAGTGGGCGTGGGATCATCTGTTTCTATGGAAACGTGTCTATAGGATGTTTGTAGGGCTTTTGGAAGCTGGCTCCCGTCTTGTTCTAAAAAACACAAGGTGGCTTTTCACAGTGTTTCTGATGGCTTTTTTTTTTTTTAAACTACCCAGGGAGTTTTCTAGTAGCTGTCCTGTCTCTGGCTGGAGTTTACAGACTGTCCTGTGAAAATACGATGAAGGCTTTAGGATTCTGAGCCAGGTTTCTGACTTTCTATGAAGAGAGGGCCTCAGTGCCTGCACATGGTAGAGAACGAGGAGCTTGGCCTTCAGGACTTTTGGCATTTTCCTGCCTCCTCCCTCCTCCTTCTGGCCTGAGACTGTACCCCTAGAGGCTTGGCTCTCAGCCAGTTGACAACTAATCCTCGCTAAGGTGTTAGGTGGCAAAAGCTCAAGGGTTATTAATCCTTGTAAGAGCTTTCCGCATTCAACAAAGTTTTGTTATTAAATCAGAGAACATTAAAAAATCACCACCACAGCATAAACCAACTTCTCTGTGTTCCCTATAAATCTCTACCTTTATAAATGAGTGTAGCTCATGACCACGATATATATGAAATTTTGTTCACTAAGGACATTTTCACACCTTCTCACTTTAAAAAATATCGCACTTCCACCATTATACTAGTTTGAAAGTACTTTTGTAACATCTGGCCATAATTTCTCTCCCAGAAATCCAGCGACTCTCCACATCTGCTACTTCCTGGGGACCACAAGTGTCACTTGACCCCTGCCTCTAGCCATGCCAGGTGAATGCATTGGAGTCTATGACATCAAGAACAGGAAAAAGGTTCTGGCTGGTCTCTTTTGGGAAAGTTGAAGCTGCAGGATGGCAGGTTAGGAGGTGGGAGATGGCTTTTTCTCAACCCCGAGGGGGATGAGGCAAATATGCAGTTCAGGGAGACTTGTACAGCAGATGAGCAATGGAAGACAATGGTGACTGGATGTCCCTGAGGCCCGTGCACATTTCTACTTGTGATTTCTGTAAGTCACACTTGTATTGATGTTGTTACTATTTTGCTTAAGCCAGCACTGTTTCATTTTTATCACTTGCAAAATTCAAACCCAAATTAATTACAGTAACGATGACAATTTTGGTCACACTGAACATTTGCTATGTGTCAGGTACTTTATTTCTACTTGAGTTGCATCCCTTATATGCAATGAGCTAGCTCAGATGTTTGCTAATTTTCCCAGGATAATTTGCCTCAGTGGTCTGGGGCTTGAATTTTGATCTGTCTGATGCTACAGTCTCTGGTTTTAACTATTCCCTAATGTATCCTCCCAAGGTAAGTGTGTTGCCATAGAAGTGGCGTGAGGAGAAGGAAGAGCCATCAGGCTCCCCTAGAGTATGTGTTAAACACCAAGACTGTCAGAAAGAAAATGTTTTGAGACTAAGTTTGTCAGCTCAGTGCTCTGCAGCCACCTTCCCTGTGTCCCAGCTCTTAATTGGTTATAACTCCTCTGAGAGGCTCACCTTTTCTCTAAAAGCAAGGAAACCCTGTACTGAGTCTTGTTCAAGTCCATGTGTGAGTAGTGCATGTGTAGTTTTGCCAGGATGATTTTGTAAGGCATCTCCTCTGGCCAACAGCAGCAGCGTCACCTTCCCCTGCCTTGAGACAGTTCAAATTCATGCCTGTCTGCCTGCCACTCATGCACTGATTTACTGTCCCTACAGTCTCATTAGACCCTTGTTCTGGGCCTAGCCTAATCCTGGTTACACAGGACCAATCAAACACCACAGTTGCTGCTTCCGAGACCCAGTAGCATTACAAGATTCTTCCTAATAGCATCACACATTAAATCAGAGCAGAGACTCACAGCGTTGCTTCCACAGCTGAAAGCATGTGGTAACTAGGTCTGAGGACTTAGTGGAGCACTGGATCTTGGAAGCTGGGAGATTTTGTGTGAATCTAAGTGCAACAAATACATGTTCGTCTATTGTGATCAGACACTTATCGATGGCCATACTATTTTACAAGGCTCTTTCTCCCTGTGTCTCCCTTTACAGATGCCATGATTTCAGAAATTGATAGAATTAGTTACACACTCCCAAATGAGCAGTCATTTGCCTCTGCAAAGGCATGGGGTTGTCTTCTTCTTGAACTGCAGTGCAGCTCTTCAGGGGCATCCCTCCAGTGGAGAGAAGGGAGCTATGCTACAGTGCCCATCAAAGGTGGCCAGTGAGAACCATGCTTCTTTAGGATGGATACAGCAGAGTTACATTTTTTTTTTGCCAGACCCGAAAGATGTCTCAGGATGGAGAACAGAATTTCAGGAAACTCAGATCAAACTGGCCTCTGGGGATTAAAAACAAACAAAACCACACAGGCAAAGGATCAGAGAGAAATGCAGAGTTCTCAGCAGAAAACCCTTTGTGAGGAAACGGTCACAACTTCCCTTTTACATAATTGTCATAAATGCACAGCCAAATTAAACGTCTCGTAGATAAAATTACCAATGGGAGTACCACCCGGCTGTCTCCTGTGAGCTGAGTTTGTGGATGCAGTGTTCTCCAGCGAGCATCGCACATCCGCATAATGTTCCCGAGTGCTAAATTTGGAGCTCTGATTTAGCTGACAGATGTTTAAAATCACATTGAATTGGACAACTCCCTGAGGAGGACACGGCTGCAGATGTGAAAGAGAACAAGTTACGGGCTTTGGGAACAGCCTGAAAGCCTTCGTTTCTATCAGCCTTCTTCGATGGGGTAATATGGGTGAAGGATCATTTCTATGCTGAGTTCATCAAACCCCAGCCTCCTGTTGAGTCAATGCCAGGATGAATGTGGAGGTTGTATATTGGGCAAAGTGTAGAATGCCTTATGTGTGTACAAGGGGGCTGCAGCCTTATGTGTGTACAAGGGGGCTGCAGGTTCCTTGAAAAACAGGCAGGAAGCCACACCTTGGAGCCTGCCTTGCCCCTCTAGTAACATGGTATGATCAAAAATGAATATAATTCTGAAAATTTAGACTTCAGCATCAGTATCTAACTGTCAACCTCTTGGGCAAGGTTGAAATACTGTTCACAATTCCCCACAACTAAATCTCAAACAGTTTCTCCTCCTTCATTTTTGGAAAACAACAAAATTAAAATTATCCTAGAATCTTTTTTTTTTCAAAAACACATATTTTAGGCCTGTGTTGAGACTCAGACTGAAATGGATTTGTTTAAAAAAATGTCTGTGTATTTGATGTGGGAGACTAGTGACCTTTGGTATTTTGTATAAAAAAAAATGTTTGATGTCTAAAATTTCCCTACTGAGCTTGTATTGTTGCTGGCTTTTTTTTTCTGTGATTTTTTTTTCCATGCTCCAGCATCCCCCACATCCAAAATAAATTCTTTAATTACTCAACAGAGCTCATCCCAGTGTCAAGCCTCAGATGAACACCACTCACATTATGATGTTATGATTGACATGGCACGAATCTGACAATGGTCAAACAATTTTAAGACAGAAGCCCAAGAGACACTGTCATTGTTAGGGGAACAGTAAGACTCTTGGGAGAACTGTGTTGCATTTACATCCGGGTAACACTGTGCCCACCAAGACGTTACGCAGAATACAAATATCTAATAACATCACCCTCAGAGGCTACAGAACACCCTCAGAGGAAGTTGGTGGGCAGCTGGTGAGGGTGGCAGGGTGGGTATGACTCACACCTTTTCTTCATTAGGATGAGCACATCTGATGTCAAATGGATGAAAAGCTGAGGAGATAAGCCAATTCACCCAATGTCAATGAATCCCTGAAGGCCGTGCAGGGAATGCTAGGCCCTGGGGACAAATGTGAAGTAAGCAGGGAAAGAACCAGATACTACTGAGGGAAGCTCACATAGCTTTTTTGTGTCTTAAATCATAAATGCCATACCTCTCTATCTCTCTTTTGGTTTTTTGAGACAGAGTTTCTCTGTGTAGTTTTGGAGCCTATCCTGGCACTCGCTCTGGAGACCAGGCTGGCCTTGAACTCACAGAGATCTGCCTGCTTCTGCCTCCCGAGTGCTGGGATTAAATGTGTGTGCCACCAATGCCCGGCATAAATGTCACACTTCTTGACTTACTGAAACAAGTGCCTTTTACTCTGCGATTCTGTCTCCGACATTATCTTTCAAACCACGATCTCTACAGTCTGTAGCAGAAAGTTATACACTGATCTGTGGTTCCACTAGAGTCTGAAGGGAAGAAGAAGGAGAAAGACAATTAAAATCTACTGTACAGCTGCATTGTTTGATTTATCACAACAAATACATATTTTTCACCTGAAAAAATCAAGTAAAGTAATTGAAGTACATATGATAATCACAAAAATAATTCTGTGGGCTAAGGAGTCAGTGGAACTTATGAGTCATTGGAGAAGACCTTTGACCTCTAGCGTACAGAGTTCCCTGTCTAATAAAGTATTTTTCTATGAGAATAAAGTACAGCAACAGATATCAATAATATTTTGAGAAGATGAGGGAAGGTTTAAAATGCAAAATGTCATTTTTCTTGACAGGCCAGAAGCAGTAGTTTATTATTATAGTCTATTTATTAGTTATTTATTATAGTTTATTAGGGCAGCTAAGTCACTGTAATCCATGGTATTTCCTGCCAGAGAGTCATTTATGAATTTTCAGAGGACTTTGTACAGTAAAGATATATGTACAGGATTATGAACTCTGGCTCCATTAAGTGAAATATAATTCAACTAATTGAAAGAGCAACATCTATAGTTAGATTTAATCCTGACTCCATTGCTCCCTTGCTCTGGTATCTTTGGTCCAGTTACTTGAGTTTTCTGAGCCTCAGTTTCCATGGCTGTATGGAGAACGTATAGTGTCACTTTCTTTGGTACCATCGTGGGAAGTACATGAGATGGTACATATAAAACACACAGCCTAAGCAGGGCAGTGATGGCGCACACCTAACACTCGGGAGGCAGAAGCAGTCAAATCTCTGTGAGTTCAAGACCAGCCTGGTCTACAGAGAGAGTTCCTGGACAGACTCCAAAGCTACAAAGAAACCCTCTCTGGAAAAATAACCCAAATCAACACACACACACACACACACACACCCTAGGTAGCATTTTAATAGTGGCTATGACCATTACTGGGGTGATTCCCGTATGAAATTCAACCATGACTCAATGATCACAATTGTTCATTCTTACCTTTTACTCATGAACAACCTGAGGCATGATGAAAAGTGAGTCCCCATAGTTGCCAGGTGAGGGAAGGGGTTATTGGCAAAAATGCCAGTCCTCTAAGCTGGCTAGGTGGCCACAATGGGGCCTGTCTGATCATTCTAGGTAGAGGTATTCTGATCTAGGGTTATACGCTCTTTTCAGATGCCCAGATATTAAATAGGAAAGACAGGCTCATCGTTTCCCAGAACCTAGGAGCTATGCTAAAGTGAGGAGGACAGAGAAGTCAGAGGTTTTATTTTCTATTTTTTTTGTGTATTTCTGAGTGTATAATCTCTCTCTCTCTCTCTCTCTCTCTCTCTCTCTCTCTCTCTGTGTGTGTGTGTGTGTGTGTGTAGGCCCAAGGTTGATATTGGGATTCTTCTTTGCTCCTAGTGAGCCTAACCTTTTTTTTTTTTTTTTTTTTTTTTTTTTTTTTTTTTTGGTGTGTGTGTTAGGGGTTGAGACAGGGTTTCTCTGTGTAGTCCCAGCTGTCCTGGAGATTGCTCCATAGACCAGGCTGGACTCCAATACACAGAGATCTGCCTGCCTTTGCCTCCTTAGTACTGGGATTAAAGGCATGTACCACCACTGCCCAGTGAGCTAACTTTTTATTTTATTTTAAATTTTAATTAGAAAGAAATTTATTTTACATGTCAATCCCAGGTCCCTCTCCCTCCCCTCCTCCCCTGCCTCCCCCCCCCAGCGAGCACCCTACCTAGCCCATACCCTTTCTGCTCCCCAGGGAGGGTGAGGCCTTCTGTAGGGGGTCTTCAAAGTCTGTCATATCCTTTGGGATAGGGCGTAGGCCAACCCCCTTGTGTCTAGGTTCAGGGAGTATCCCTCCATCCCACATGGGATGCTGCATGTAGATATATCCCAAAGTCCATACCTATGCTAGGGATAAGTACTGATCCACTACAAGGGGCCCCATAGATTTTCCAGGTCTCCTCACTGACACCCACATTCAGGGGCTCTGGATCAGTTCCATGCTGGTTTCCCAGCTATCAATCTGGGGATCAAGAGCTCACCCTTGTTCAGGTCAGCTGTTTCTGTGGGTTTCACCATGAGATAACTTTTTAAAGCTCATCTATTATTTTTTAAATGGACATAGTGATAAGCTGCCTCCTAAGTTTTTATCTTCAGACCCACACATCAGGGCATCTTTCAACACCCCACATCCCAGAAGAGCACTGGGATTACCCCAGAATTCCTTGACTGTTTGTCCTGAAGACTCTAGTCATTTTTTATTTCTAAATACTATGTGTAGCAAATGTTACCACCCTGTTTCCCACAGGCATGTTTGGCATGTGACTCATGGGCTGATATACCTCAGCACAGCTATGAATGTGGCTCAACACAAAGGAATAAATGATATTACAAGATCAAGCATAGTCTCTATTTCCTCTTCTATCCAGGTCTAGACACCTGGAGCTGAGTTGTATTCTACATGCAGCTATCCTGTTAAACCAGAATTATTTGTTGAAGATGCTGTCTTTTCTCCAGCATATCGTTTTTTACTTCATTGACAAAAATCAGGTGTCCAATGGTGTATGGATTTATTCCAGGATCTTCAAAATTCTATTTCATTGAAAAATATATGTTTTTTATGACAATACCATACCATTTTTATTACTATAGCTCTATAGTACAGTTTAGGAAAGGTGATAACTTCCAGCACTTATTTTAATATTTCTATCTCTCTCTCTCTCTCTCTCTCTCTCTCTCTCTCTCTCTCTCTCTCTCTCTGTGTGTGTGTGTGTGTGTGTTTCCATATGAAGTTTAAATTTTTTTCAATTTCTATGAAGAATTGTATTGGAATTTTGATAGAGATACTTATCCTTAGCAACAGCATTGGCAGTAATCACCACAATCAAAAGTGAACACACCAAGGCTAATGAATGTGAGCCCCAGCCCCCCCCCCACTTACATGTATATCATTGAGGCCTTGTATTGAATTTTGTTCTCATAATTTTCTATTTTCTTACTGAATGCACCTCATGATCTATTTTTGCCTCACACTTCTGACTCTAGGGACTTTAGGCCCCACAAAATCTGGGCCTGCCTTGAATACACCAATTGGGAAACAGAGAATTATGGGAATATGTTTAAGACTATAGACTTTGGAGTCAGAATGATTTGAGCTAAGTCTCAGCTTAGTTATTTAATAACTTGATCAATTTAAGCAAATTATATATGTTTTCTTTGCCTTAGTGCCCTCATTCATCCAAGAAGATGAATGCTAGAAAACCCTTTTCACCCTCAAAGTCAGGGATTGGACCCAGGTGTTCACACATACCGTCTAAGTGCAGACTACTAAGCCACATCCCAGCCTAAAAAGACCTTCTCAACAGGGTTGTCCTAAAAATAAAATCAGATCACACAGAAAGACTTTTTATCCTGGTTATTGTAACTGCTACCTTTTCATTTTTAGTAAAGGGAGGGTCTGAGTTTGTTGTAAGTGGTCAAGCAAAGGAATTAGTTAATCCTCCCCCTAGAGCAAGGATGCTCTTCCTTTGCATCTCAAGAAGCAACAGGATGCAGCTTGAGGAAGATGGTTTGTGGGTAGAAAGCTGCTGCATTAAGCAGACCCAGGGTCAGCAGTACATGAGCCACTTCCTTCCCCTAGGGGGCGATATTTGCTATGGGACCAAGCTGAGGCCATTTCCTGTTGGTTCTATATTGGCTCTTCCTCCTTCCTTCTTCCTCCCTTGATGTAGGGTCAGCTCCACTTCATTGTCTGAAGTGTCCTCTGACAACTCCTACTCCCTGTATCCTTACCCGTTCATGGATGCTTTCTCTTCTACATCTGATTTGTCTTAGTTTGTGCTTTTCAGAAGACCTGAATTGATATACCAGACATTCTGTGTCTAATGACTCACAAATCTTTCAGGTCAGGGCACTGAAGCTTGGCAGATGTTTGAAGACAGTTGCTAAAGACTCAATAAACAGTATATCCAAGCAACTACAAAGAGTAGATAGACCGCATCAAGAAAATTCTGCCAAAACATACTTTAAACTTACCTAGGGAGCGTACAAAGCCTGCAATTTGTAGAAAAGTTAACAAGGAAGTCAAACTTTCCTATTTTGAGTTTGGATTAAAAAATGGTTAATGGTAGACATTCTCAGAAAGGAGCTTGAGAGGAGAGGCAGAAGAGGGACTCTCCGGGAGAGGGGTTGCCAGGGAATGTGCTCCAGGCTCTTCTTAAGGAGCCATAGTTATAAGGAACAGAAGCCTGACAATATTGGACTGCTCTTAGAGAAGTTCTGATGACAAGTGTCATGAAAGAAACCAATCCGCACAATTGTGGTCTTAGAGGAGAACGGTGGCGTTAGAGTTGCTAAGAAGCAGAAATGTTCTGTGAATGGTTAATGGTGGTCAGAAGTGCATGAGGAGTCACCTGTCTTCTGTTATATATACTTTCCCTAGACTTCTGAACTTCCTTTTCATCCTCCTAGCAAGAAGACACTAACTGCCACCTGCCACCAGTTCTGGGCAGGACTTTGGTATCATTCATCACAATCTGATGGTTTCTTAAGGGTGCCACTACTGGCATTGTGGGTGGGACTGTTCTTTATTGTCCGGAATAGTCAGACTGCCTAGCATTTTTGCCTGTGTCCATTCAATGTCATGGGTGGGCACTCCTTCTAGCCATTGTGATAAGAAAGCTCCCACGTTTCCACATGCCCCTCTCCCACTGTCATAGATGTAGTATCCTGACTGAGTTAAAAAGGGAATTGAAACTGACTAGACATAGCCATATTATACAAGGGGAAGAATTGGAGAGCATAGGAGTTGACCACGTAGCTCATATCAATTATGTATCTTTCTCACTAGAATGAGAGTTATAAACTAGATTAGGCTCATTTAATACAAATAACAATTTATTGATCCATTCAGCTAAAACTGTCTGGTCAGGACTCAGAGCTCACGTGATCAGATCTCAGTGAGCCTCCACGTCTTGTCCTTACTTTTCACTGTGTTGACTTTATTTAGAACCTTTCAGTGGG